TCTCATTAAAAACAAGGAGCTAGAGGTTTGTGCATGATATACTTGTTCCTTTTTCCGAGGTGAGGGTCTAGGATTTTCTATGGAGGCGTATTTATAGTTCGTTTGACACTTCCACTCTAATGAGATCTAGCACTTAGTGATACGTAATGGACCGATGTGGTTAAGGGCATCTTATATTAGGGTATCTTTTCTCGTTTGTGCCTTGCCTGGTGGTGTTTGGTTAAGATGTTAACCCTATACCTTTCTTTTTTCTTGTATATAAAGCAATGCAAGTTTGTCTGTTTCTTTGCTCTACATTCTGCTCACTTCTGCAAAATATGGGACTATAAAATCTACTAGAGAGGAGAATATTTAATCTCCTGTTTGTTTCCTGTGAATTTCTGGGAAGTATTAAAATATGCATAATTAAGTGGATGCATTACTGCATTATGCTTGTGGTTTTGTTTCTTACCCAGGACTTCGTTTATGCAAAAAAAATTCTGACTTCTATGCTTTGTCCTACAGTATCAATCAGATGACCCAGTTACCTTATGGGTAAATAAAGTTGGGCCCTACAATAACCCACAGGAAACATACAACTATTACAGCCTTCCGTTTTGTCATGCATCTGGTTCTCACAAATGGGGTGGCCTTGGTGAAGTTTTGGGTGGAAACGAGCTTATTGATAGTCAGATTGACATAAAGTTTCAAAGTATGTGGATCTCCTTCAGTGTTGCTCCTCGTTATTCTTGTTTGATTTGAGGTTTACATGGACTCTTTGTTGTTTGATAGAAAACGTTGACAAGGGTAGCATTTGTGAGCTTGAGCTTGATGAAGCGAAGGTCAAGCAATTTAAGGATGCTATTGAAAACAATTATTGGTTTGAATTCTTCATTGGTATGTTACAAACTTTATTCTTTGGTATATTTTTATGATATGAATATCCCCTGCAAAAACATTGAGTACATTTTGTTCGTCAGAAACCTACTCTTGCAATGCTGATTAACATTATCTTATTGAAGATACCTTTTGGAATCTATTTATGTTATTTTATTAAATGTACACTCTTATTTATTGTTTAATTGCCACATTCCTGTTGACCTTATTTTGATTGGCTGTGTTGATTTAAACCTAATTCTGGTTCAGCGCTGAACTTTTTTTCGCTTTTTCCATTTTCAGATGTTCTGCCTTCTGTTATTTTGTTTAGATTCTTTTGAATTCTGTTGATTTTTTGTCTTGACCTTTACCTTCTTTTGTTTCCGGATTGTTGAATGTTTTTCAGATGACCTGCCGATGTGGGGTATGTACTCTCTCTCTGCCTTAATTTTTCTTGTCAAAAAATGAAAAAAAAGGCGGTATCATTTGTGCTTTGTCTGTGTTATAGGTTTTGTTGGTGAGCAACATCCTGACAGAAACAGTGATAACAAGCATGTACTTTACACACATAAGAACATACATATCAAATACAATAAGGACCAGGTTTGTGATTTGATCATCTCATCCAAATTTGGTGGATAAGTCTACATGCTCATCTTTCCCATGTTTTGGTTCTTGCAGATCATTCATGTCAATATCTCTCAAGAGGGCCCAAAGCCTTTGGAGGCTGGGAGAACCTTGGACATGACATATTCTGTCAAATGGCAGCCAACCAATATCAGTTTTGCTCGTCGCTTTGAAGTTTACTTGGATTATCCATTTTTTGAGCATCAGGTGGAGAACTGGAGATTACTTGGATAACATCGTTTTCTTAATTTTATTCATCTGCTCCAATGATTGGCATTTAATTAGCACCATGAGATTCAATTTTTCTTTTTTATGTGTTGTTTGTAATTGTGTTATGCACTGTGCAGATTCATTGGTTCTCCATCTTTAATTCCTTCATGATGGTCATCTTTCTTACTGGTCTGGTGTCTATGATATTGATGCGGACGCTAAGGAATGATTATGCCAAATATGCTCGGGAAGATGATGACCTGGAGACTCTGGTAACAACTTTGTGCTTTAAACAACATTCTGTTTAGATAAGATTCAAGTTTGAGGCTTATCCATTCCATTTAAAAAAAATAATTGCAACTTTGAGGCTGCTTTTCTTAATCATTATGTTTTTTGTCTCAGGAAAGAGATGTGAGTGAAGAGTCTGGTTGGAAACTTGTTCATGGAGATGTGTTTCGGACTCCCCTTAACCTAGTGTTACTTTCTGCTCTTGTTGGTACTGGGGCACAACTGGCATTGCTTGTCCTCCTTGTCATACTGTTGGCAATTGTGGGGATGTTGTATGTTGGGTATGTTGGATCCTTGATTGATACCTTTGAACTGTAGTTGTTGGCTATCTATTTAGGAATAGAGTATAGAGGCAATTCGTGATGGATCTGTCTGGTACTTCTAGTTTCATGGTTAGGATTGCAATAACATTACTGGTTGCTATTAGTATTTGTTTGAGTACTATGTTTCCTTGCTACTCTGTAATATATCTAATTTAAATAGTATGTGTGCATTCTTTTCAGGAGAGGATCCATAGTTACGACTTTTATTGTATGTTATGCTTTGACATCATTCATTTCGGGCTATGTTAGTGGTGCAATGTACTCACGGAATGGTGGTATGTTTCCTTTCTTATCTATATTTATCCTTATTAAGGGACTAATATTTTATTGGACCCCTTTTCCCCCTCTTCCTTTCGGCACTTCTATTTCATCTAAGGAGGTAGTTCAAGCTGGGATCTTTTGTCTTATCATTTATTGATGTGTAATGTGGGACATATTGCTAGTGGCTCCTGTTTTGGGGTACCTGCCACTGTGCATGGTTTTTATTTCTGTGTTCTTCCGTTTAATCGGCAGAACTTTGGAATGACAACACATTTTTTCTCTTGCTTCCTTTTTTTTTTTTTCAAGTGCAATAGTCATACTGTTTTTCTTCTTGTTGCAGGGAAAAGCTGGATCAAGTCGATGATTCTGACAGCATCACTCTTTCCATTTATGTGCTTTGGAATTGGCTTCGTTCTGAACACAATTGCCATATTTTATGGGTCTCTAGCAGCAATTCCCTTTGGCACAATGGTGGTTGTCTTCGTCATCTGGGCATTCATTTCCTTCCCCTTGGCTCTTCTGGGTACAGTTGTTGGAAGAAACTGGAGTGGTGCTCCAAACAATCCGTGCCGTGTCAAGACCATTCCTCGCCCTATACCTGTGAAAAAGTGGTACTTGACACCATCTGTAATCTCCTTGATGGGTGGTCTGCTACCATTTGGCAGCATATTTATCGAGATGTATTTCGTCTTCACATCCTTCTGGAATTACAAGGTAAACTATAAACCCATGCGAGGCTTGTGTACCACTCACTATAAGTGATTTTGAATAATAAGAAGGTTAAACTTCAACGGATTCAGGGAGAAACAATTTGATTCTGTCCATAGCTTGGACCTTGCTGCAAATAAGTATGAGCATGAAACGAACTCCAACTGATTCAGGATGCTGACCTAGTGGGTCCATCTTGATGCCCTTTTCCTCGTGAACAAGTTAGATTGTGTAAATTTGAATGAACTCCTATGAATAGAATGTCTTATCTTTTGCTAGCATGCACTGCCTGCATTATTAATCGTACTTCAAAAAAAATAATCAAATTGATATGGAATATATGAAAGAACCCCTTCTGTTAGGTAGCAGGATATTATAGTTTACTTCTCAACTAAGCAGCTGCTGGACAAAAATAGAATTCACTGCTAATTTATCCAAGTTATGGTTTTTGCAGGTGTACTATGTTTACGGGTTCATGCTTTTGGTGTTCCTGATACTCATTGTTGTTACTGTCTGTGTGACCATCGTGGGCACATATTTCCTGCTAAATGCTGAGAATTATCATTGGCAGTGGACTTCATTCTTCTCAGCATTCTCTACAGCTGTCTATGTCTACCTGTACTCAGTATATTACTACTATGTGAAAACTAAGATGTCAGGGTTCTTCCAGACCAGCTTCTATTTTGGATATACACTGATGTTTTGTCTTGGCTTAGGAATTCTCTGCGGTGAGTATGAGTACCAGTTGGACCATTTCTGCCATATTGAGTCTATTGCTTGTGTGTAATTTCAATTGGTATTTCATCTTGCTTCATGTTAGTTCTAATCAGCCTTGTCATTTAAACTTAGGTGCTGTTGGATTTTTGGGCTCACATCTGTTCGTGAGGAGGATCTATAGGAACATCAAATGTGACTGATGTTTTAACAAAGAAGAGTAGGACTGACACTGCTATATTTGCTTGGTATCTAGCAGTAAGGTCAAGAACAACCTCAAGAACCATGTATCTTTGTGGGATTCAATTTGGTTTAATGATGGTAGGTACCTCTGCTTGTATTCTGGGGAGCCCTGAAAATTTTCCATATTCCTTGGGCTGTAAAAGAAATCTCCTATTTTCATTTGTACTTAAATTAGAATGGAGACTTTGGATGATTCAAGGCTAGCATGGTAAGAGTTACAGCTGTGATGTAGTTATATCTCCAATACTATACGACGCAGATGCAAAAAACATTGCTACTTAATTTTTGTTTATTCTTTATGCCCAGACAAGTTGTTGAACAATTTACGATAACGATTTGGGATTCCACACATTGCAAGCAGCGAGACCAGTTTTCCATTTTCCTCATTTGTAATTGCATTTCTCGACCAAATAACCCTTTACTGCCCCGTTAGCTATTATAGTTGTCTTTCATTTTCGTATTCGGTTGGGTGGACTATTACTATTCCTCCTACGCCATCAAAGAGCAGTATTTTGCTGGGAATAGAAACAAAATCAATTCATAAAAAAAAAGTTGTGGATGCCCGCCCGCCCATCAAGACCTTCTTCAGCCATCTAGATTGGACAGACATTTCTAGACTCTACTAACTGACAAAATGTCCAGAATCTGAATTGATAGGAATAGTCTTCTGTGCCGTATTATGCTGACACGTGGAAGATTAGCCTAAACAAATCATTTCCACAAGCTCCCAATTTAAATGCTCATTAGTGAAGTGAGATCCAGCCAAGCACAAGAAAGATAAAAATGGCTAGTATTTCAGGCACCATGATCAGTACCTCCTTCATGCCAAGAAAACCAATTGTGACATTTCCAGCTCTCCTTGGGGTTAAATATGCAAATGGTGGCAAAATAACTTGTATGGCTACATACAAAGTGAAACTTATTACACCTTCAGGAGCAGTAGAATTTGATTGTCCAGATGATGTGTACATTCTTGATCAAGCTGAGGAAGAAGGACATGAACTTCCTTATTCATGCAGGGCAGGTTCTTGCTCATCTTGTGCTGGTAAAATTGTATCTGGAAGTGTTGATCAATCTGATGGAAACTTTCTTGAAGATGAACAAATAAGTAGTGGATATGTGTTAACTTGTGTTGCCTATCCACAGTCTGATGTTACCATTGAAACTCACAAAGAGGAACAACTCACAAGCTAAACTAAATTTGGAGAAATTTTATGTTTATAATGTGGTCAAGTTTATAGTATATGTGAGTGTAATTTTCTTCCATTATAATGTGAGTGTAATTGTCTGCTTTGTAATATTGTTATTCTGGGTGTACTTGTTTGTTGTTCATTCGACAGAATTTGGCTTGGTAAAAAAGGCTCGTTTTTATTAAAAGTTCCACAAATGTTTTTCTGAATCATTTAAATATATTACATTAATGTTTATTTTTATGTATTCATTTGGTAAAATTGATCTATTGATCACTTATTAATATAAATGGCAAGTTTAAAGCTCTATCACTACTAAATAAATATTGTGCCTATGTCCAACATGTTCTTTACTTGCATCTAAATATGCAACCAAATAAGTCATCATTTCTTCAAATCTGTTCAACATCCATATTGAACAATTATTTTCTAACCTTCAACGCAAATCATCTACCATTGTTATTTTCTACTCTCTAGCAAAAAATAAAAGATATTTTCTGTCATCAAATATAGAAAATAAGTTAGAAACCAACTTGTTTTCTTTCATACCAAACATTTTCTGAAAAATGTTTTTCAGTTTTATCAGGCGCAAATGTTTTTCAAATCAATATATTTTTTTCAAAGTTGAAGAAAATGACTTACCTCTAAAATAAATTTAAAAAATAAGAAAAATAGTTTCAAAAACTCTCCTCTAACCTCAAATTACAACCTTTTATTTACTCAGTATCCAAGCTCCCTCTTCAAAAAAATTAAATAAATGAAACCACCATCATTAGCCTGCCCTCGTATCCAAGCTCCCCCTTCAAAAAAATAAAATAAATTAAACCATCGAATTTTGTTCCGGTTGATTCGAACTTGTTTTTTTTCATATCAAAACACATAACTATTTTGTTCCGGTTGATTCGAACTTGTTCTCTTCATATCAAACACATTCTAACCTTTTTTTTCTTCATATCAAACACTTAGAACAAATAGTGCAGTAGCAATAAATGCAAGAATATTTACTTCCATAATCTCATCATTTTTTTACTTCTCAATAACTCGGGATTTAATTACATAGAGATGATAAATCTTTGGCATGTTTTTTACGTTGACTTGGATACTATTTTCAATTTTTAGAAAAAGACTTTGGAATATAAGATTTCGTAGAAAATATTATTTCTCCATTTTTATCTTTAAAAAATATTGTAATTTTTATAGTTTGAAGTTTGAAAAAAGTTGAACTAATTTTTTAAGGCAAATTTAAAGAATAATGTGATCTTATATCGTATACTGCATTCTTATTTGGTAGGTTAAAAAAATAAATTAAATTAGTTTAAATACTTCCCAGTTTTACGAACTATTACAATACATCCATTAGCTAATTGAATCCTTTTAACAAAAAATAATTGTACATTAAATGCTTCAATATCTTGATATAGGGAGGTTTAGTTCAATCTATTCACCTTAATATGACTAAAGTAAAGCGCAGCTGATCGTCTTTGCCTATAAAAATAACTAAGGATCAAGTTGACAAAAGAGAGTCTGTTGAAACTATGAACAAGGATATTTTACTCAATTCCCTTTTTACTATTTTGAAAAGCGGAATAAAATGAAATTCCTCCTCTAGTAATCTTCTTCAAGATTATAATACTCGTTTCGATAGATCCTTCACTAAAAAAAAAAAACATATTAAAGCAAATAAAAGTTGTTATTAGATAGAGTGCATTCCATTTAAAGTATACAAAGAAGAATGAAAGACAGCTAAAACTTTAGAATCGTCGTAATCTGACAACACAATATCTACCTTCCCCGAAGTAAAATTATACCGATAGAAACTTTTCTTTTCTGGTAATAAAAAGTACAACTCGAGATCATTGACAGAGAGAATTTCAATTGGTTCATCTTCCTCTTTCAAGTTTTTCATCTTGACGGTCCGTTTTTCTTCAATCCATTTATTCGTTTTATAATCGTCTAACACCAAGACATGAAGCTCATCGTTTACTATTTTACCAAACGAGACCTTTTCGTTCCATTCTATATAATTATCAAAGCCCAATTTTGAAGTAAAATTACCTCTAGGTAAAGTTGCAGTAGTAATGTAGATCTCGTTCTCCATGTCCAATATATCAATCTTTATAGCAGCGGTTTGGTTGATTATTCCCCAAATGCAATAAGAAACTTCAGATGTAACAAAAACGTGACAATTTGTCACATTCTCCACGTTTTGACAGGTTGGTAATTCCAGGAGTCTCCACAAACAACTACTTTCATTCCCAATGGTGAGAATTTCACAACCCAAATTTCGAGAATTTTCGTCTTTATAAATGGAAAGAATCTTGAAAACTTGCTTAGATGGGAGAAAATCAAGGGTCATGAGCAAACTAGGATTGTTTTGTGGGTTGGGAAGTTGAACAAGTTGGCCAATTTCAGGATTCCTTATACGATATAGTCTCGAATTATTATTATTATTAACTATACTTTGCTCCAAAAGTAATCCTTTGCATCCATCTAAGACGACAAATTCATCATTTTCAGACTTGTTGTAAATCAACAAGGATGAATTTTCAGAATGAAGGAAAATAAAGTGATGATCAAGAATTATGGAATTCCAATCTTTGCTTACACTTTTGAATCTCAACAATGCTTTAACTGGCAAACAACTCAAGATTTGTTCTATTATTGCCTCCGGAAGATCAGAATTATTGGTTACTGAAACTAATTTCTTTTTTCGTCTACGCTTCATATACTTTCATGATTGAAGGATGAAATATTTTAACAAGAAGATGGTGGATTCAACTGAAAGCAGTACACATAGTATAAATGGATTTATGAATCTATAATATAGGTTAAGGGATCGAGAATGACGACTTTTCAATGATTTAGTGGATCAGATTAAATGGGTCGGATCATTAAATGGATATATAATTGGTTTTTAAAATTTTGGTTAAAAATAAAAATTTCATGTCAGAAAATTTTAGTAAAAAAAACAATTAAATTAGTACAAAATCTATTTGACTAGAGAATAGTTTACGTATTTAATTAGGTGTGATTAATATAACAAAATAAAACCCTAATCAATCTTGAAGTAATACTACTTTCAAAAAAATAGGACTTTCTTGTTGGTATTGCCTTTGGACGCAAACAATTAGTAAAAGATTTCTGTGTTCCACCTTATGTAACCAGATTAGGAGGAGGGTCAAACTAATTAATTTTTTGTTTTAATTCGAATATACATTTTTTTTATGAAAAATAACATAAAGTAAAACAGAGAGAGGGGGAATACATTTCTCCAAGTTGAAAAATTAAGAAATTATAATTAATGTAGTGAAACTTAGGACATGAAGTCATGAACTAATCGTATCAGTATTATGGAATTAATTAATTTTCAGGTTTGTTACCTATTTTTAGAATTAATTTAGGGCTGTCAAAATTAGCGCAAAAACAAATGATCTATTGAATTCGTCCAGATTTTTATAGGTGAGGTTAAAGTAAATTAAAATTGGGCTAAATTTGAAGTAATTTAAGCATGATCCATTTTAAAACGATTGTCAGCTTAGCGCAATTTTATCGTTTGTGAATTTTGCTCAAATATTTTTCATTGTACTCACTAGGATCGGCTCTCGAATCCCCGATCAGGTAAGTCTTGGGTCCCGGGTCAGGTTCATGGCTCGAGTCTCGGGTCCAAGGTAGAGTCGGTCTCAAATCAAGCCTCGTGTCCCGAGTTAGGGTTAGGGTCGGGGCTCGGGTTGGCGGGTCAGGGTATAATGATGTGCAATACTCTAAATCAAAATACCATCTTAGAGCCCGTTTGACATTGCTGCTAAAAACTGTTTATTTTTAGAAATATTTTTTAAAAATAACTTTTTAGAAAAGTGCTTTTGAAAAAAATATTAATTTGTATTTGGCTAATTCATTTGAAAAGTATTTTTTATAAGCATATTGTGTTTGACTAATCTTTTTTAAAAAGTACTTTTGAGAGGCAAATTACAATTAAGGACAATTATTAATGTAAATTTAACATTAAAATTATTTTATAGAGAGAAACTAGTTTAAACATCTATTAAAAAAATGAGTTAAATTTTTATTTTTATTAAATTAAAATGTTCATATTCAAATTTTAAATCAATATTGAAATCTTTACTAGTATATTGCATGTATTTTTTCTTTTTAAAAAAAGTTTCTCCTGAATATTATTAGAAACAGGTACAATGATACTTATTATTATTTTTTCACTATTAAAAAAAAAAACTTCAAGCAGATCCACTTGTGAAGAATTCGTGTCAATTTACCCGCCAATTTCGATGTATGACAGTTGAGTTTTTCTTTTTGGGATGTACACTGACAAACATTTCGCTTATTGGCCACCATTTTCTGTCTGATGCCATTAATGCATGAAAACAGAGGTCTCAATTGCAAAATGTGAATCTGCATTATGATCATTCAATATATCCACAGGCAGATCTAGCGCGGATTGTGTGAGTTCAACTGAATCCATTACTTTCATTTAGAATCGGTAAAATTTTTTTATATAAAATTTATACATATAGTAATAAGATTACATCTATTTTGAATCCACCGGAATTAGATCCTGAATTCAACTAAAGAATATATGTATGCATCTGATGTTGCATGGTGTGTACATAGTTTTTTCTTATTAGCGACCTTTTTTGTGTTTAATTTGTTGCATCTCTTAAGTCTCAGGAAAAGAATAAAATTTGATTTCTAATAATTCAGTGCATATTTTGCCAACAAACATCAGGGGAAGTGGGTCTTCCATTCATGTAGGAGGCACTTGGTTTCCATAACTGTGACACAATTGATCGTTTTTTCAAGCTATTCAATGAAAAATGTGTATCTGATATACTAGCAATCGCGAATATAAATCCAGGCATTTTCTGAATCGAGGGTCTATCGAATACAACCTTCTCATGGTTATTTAATATTTTTACAGTTAGCAGTAAGGAAAATGATACATTCAGTTGATAATTGGCTGCAAAGGCAGGCAAGTGCCCCTGTGGCAGGAGTACCTGGTATGCCCTTAAGATCTAGTGACAATGTTCATGATTTAACTGGAAATGCAGTACTTCTGCATGGAGAATTGGACTTGTGTATTATAGAGGCATGCTCACTTCCAAATCTAGACGCGAAATGTCTTCCCATGTTTTCTTGGAAAAGCAAGGACAGCACCAACGCATCAGGATTGGTAGATACTAGTGATCCCTATGTATCTGTGTGTCTAGCTGGGGCAAGTATAGCTCGAACAGCGGTGATTCCAAATGATGAAAATCCGACATGGAATGAACGTCTGTGTATACCAGTTGCTCACGCTGTAGACAAAGTAGAGTTTATAGTCAAGGATAATGATAAAGTAGGTGCTGAACTGATAGGAATAGTGGCGATACCTTCTAGTAAAATTGCTGAAGGTAATCAAATAAATGGTTGGTTCCCGATTTGTGGATCCTCCGGTGCTCCCTTGGAAACTGATGCTCAACTGCATCTGTCAATCCATTATACGCCAGCAACAGAGAACCCTTTGTATAAAAATGGTGTTGGTAATGAGGCTGATCAAAAGGGAGTGCCGCACACTTATTTTCCTCTACGAAAAGGAGGAGATGTTACACTTTATCAAGACGCTCATGCGCCTGATGAAACACTTCCTGAAATCCTATTAGATAATGGCAAGGTCTTTAAGCATAATAAATGTTGGGAAGACATATGCCATGCCATGTTGGAAGCACAACATCTAATATATATTGTTGGTTGGTCCATCTATCATCTTGTTAGAATCATAAGAGAACCTACAAGGCCAGTGCCTTCTTCTGGGTGGCTAGAGCTGGGGGAGATGCTAAAGTACAAGTCACAAGAAGGCGTTCGTGTGATATTGCTGATTTGGGATGATAAAACTTCGAATGATGATTTATTCCTCAAGACGGTAATATAACTGAGTAGTTAGTTAATGATTTGTTTCTTGAGTATCCTTTCGTAGTCTTGTTTAGATGGTATCACAACTTAGAACTCGATCGTAAGTTTCTAAATGTTGGTCATATTGTTCTGTGAATTTGAATGCAGGAAGGTGTAATGCAAACTCATGATGAAGAGACCAAAAAGTTCTTTAAACACTCAAGTGTCCACTGTATTCTTTGTCCTCGTTCTGCTAGCAGTAAGCTTAGCATTTTCAAGCAGCAGGTACCTTTTTTGTATTTTACTGTTTGAATAGCTGGCAAGATGAATTCTTGTGTCCATGATTTCTGTTAAAAAAAATTCTTGTATTTTGAACAGAAATCTAAGTTTATTCACTTCAGACAGAAATTCACCTGGAGAACTGTTTGGAAAGCTTTTTATTTTGTTTATATTGGTGATTTTTGTTTATGTGCAACTGCTTGGAAATCATCATCTGTATCATTTTCTTCTTGATCAAATGAAAACCTTTTACTGCAGGTTGTCGGAAACATTTTTACACATCATCAGAAATGTGTGATTGTTGACACACAAGCAGCTGGTAATGATAGAAAGATAACTGCTTTTGTTGGAGGCCTAGATTTATGTGACGGACGATATGATACTCCTGAACACAGACTGTTTAGTGATCTTGAGACCGTCTTTGAAAATGATGTTCACAATCCCACATTCACAGTAAGGCATCTCGTTGAAGCTTTCCAACTGAGGTTTTTGTTTGACAGTATATATGACATATACCATGTTTATGGATTATCCAAGCAACTTAACAACTAAGATAGCTTTTTCTTCATGTTAATTATGAGAGAATAGGTGAAAATGAACATTGCTATAACCATTGTCAAAGGTATATTTCCCATGCTACTAAGATTCTCATGTGGGCAATAAGTTTGTTAACAGTAATTTTTATTTCTTTCATGAATGTCTACTGTATCTTTTCATTCATTAGTATTGTCCCAAAAACTTATACGATATGTACAGAGTAGCTCAGGTGGACCAAGAGAACCATGGCATGATTTACACAGCAAGATCGAGGGTCCTGCTGCTTATGATGTTTTGACAAACTTTGAACAGAGATATAGAAAGGCTATAAAATGGATTAGAATAAAAAAATGCAAACCGGGGTTAGATTCATTACTTAAGTTAGAAAGGATTCCATCAATCCACATGCCTGCTGCTGGATCGGATGGTGACCAAGTAGTTCATGTCACAAAGGAAGAAGATCCGGAAAATTGGCATGTTCAGGTACTAGACATGTTTCTCCTGTATATGTTGTGTTCTTCTGTTATCTTAAATGTTTAAGTTTCACTATAATTACTTCCTATAACGGTTTCCAGGTTTTCCGATCAATAGATTCAGGATCTGTTAAAGGGTTTCCGAAAGACGCTAAAGAAGCAAGAGCTCAGGTAGCACTAAGTTTTATAAAGACCAGTGTTCTATCTGCAACTAGTTTCAATGTTATTGTGGGTAGTTGCTTTGTCTGAAATCAAGTCACCATGTCAAGATGAATGCCTAATTTTGACTGTTCAATATCAGAATCTTGTCAGTGGAAAGAACTTGAGGATAGACAGAAGCATACACCTGGCTTACGTGAAAGCAATTCGATCTGCTCAGCATTTCATTTACGTAGAGAATCAGTATTTTCTTGGTTCTTCATATTGCTGGCCGTCCTACCGAAATGCAGGTATATACTGTTCTATCTCGAATTCAACGTTCATCCTTGAATCTTATAGAGGTAGTCTAAGGTTTGCCTAGCAAAAGAATACTCTTCTACACAGAAAACTTGCT